TTTTTTTTTTTTTTTTTTGCATTGTGCCTTACCCCCGCTTTGTTTGGTATTTGGTGCTGCCAGTTCCTATACTCTGGATTTTGCATGGCATATTACCTCACTTTTTTCCTCCCTTCTAGGTGCTTATGTTTCAGCTTATTCAACCCTACTAAGTCCACTACCATTCTTCTGCTCATTCTCTGTCTTACACATTTTTGTTGACATCTCTTATTTGATGTTGTCCCTGCTTCCATTCTTTTAATCTTTGTGGGTTTATGCTTTTTTTGTGTGTGTATGTGTATTTTTTTTTTTTTAAATTAATTCCTTTACTACGATTTCAGTAGACTTTTAGGTGGGAGCAGAAATAAACTCATGCTCACTCCATTAAGTTTATGCTTTTTTGACATTATTTGCCTAAGGATATTGAGTTTGTAGTACAAGCTTATGTTCTTTCATATTGTTTAGTTGAGTAGAAAGGGCCTGGTGGCACAGTGTTGTTAAGCGCTTGGATGCTAACCATCTTGAAAACAGTTAGGAAATGATCTCATTTCTAACCAGGGTACTGCCTGTATTGGGAAATTCTCTTTTATAGACTATTATCAGTTTAGGTCCTAGCAATGTAGGAGAAATACATGATTTGTAACATTTACAGCAATCATATAGCATGGATATTATTCTGAATTTGACTGACTAGTATAAGACAAGGAGCTCTGGTAGCATAGTGGCTAAAGCACTTGACTGCTAACCAGAAGGCTGGTGGTTCAAACCCACCAGCCACTCCTTGGAAGGAAGGTTGGGCAATCCTACTTCCGTAGTGATACTGCCTCGGAAACCCAAGGAGGGGTCGCTATGAGTCGGGGTCGACTTGATGGCACATAACAACAAACAACAACAGTATAAGACAACAACAATAATAATTCTTATTTTAATCAGAGAGAGCTACATAGGTTCAGAGAAACTGAACTTTAAAGTTAGAAGGAGCATCCATTTTTCTAATCATGCAGGATAACAGTATTCCTTTTTAAAATTTTACAAAATGTCCTTTTAAGTGTTAATGGAAAAATTAGCTGTCTTTGAAATTCCATCATTTTTTAAAAAATTTGTTTTATTTGAAGGAAGGCATGTCAGATTTTTATTAAAAAAATAATTTAGTATGGAGTAGGATTATTGATAAAGAGCCCTGGTGGTATAGCAGTTAAGCTGTTAAGTGTTTGGCTGCTAACTGAAAGGTTGGCAGGTCAGAGCCACCCAGAAGGTCCCTGGGAGAAAACCTGAAGATCTATTTCTGTAAAGATTAGAGGCTAGAAAAACCCAATGGGCCTTTTTACTCTGTCACATGGAGTTGCTCTGAGTTGAAAATCGACTGAATTTACCTAGCAACAAGCTTATTTGTAGGCTGTTGTTGTTGTTGTTGTTATGTGCCGTCGAGTCGGACCCGACTCATAGCAACCCCTCCTTGGGTTTCCGAGGCAATATCACTATGGAAATAGATTTGCCCAACCTTCCTTCCGAAGAGTGGCTGATGGGTTTGAACTGCCAGCCTTCTGGTTAGCAGTCAAGTGCCTTAGGCACTATGTGTTACTGCTGATGACTCCTTATACTGAGATTTTATAAATCTTACAAGTATTGTGTTTTGAAATGTTAACTCTCCTGTATTATTGAACCTCATGGATATTCAGAATACCAGATATATAAACTTTTTTTTTATGTTAGCTGAATATTCCATGAGGATTTTGTTTTCCTTCAGTTATCCCTAAGGATATATAGAATTATAAGGTATGTACCAAAAGTAACATGACATTATAATGTATTATAATTTATGAAGTACTTGCATATATTCTTTTTTTTTTTCAACATTCATAGCCTGTTACTCACCCATTTAAAGTATACAATTCAGAAAGTTTTAAGTATACTCACATATGACCACATCAGTTGTAGGACATTTTTATTACCTCGAAAATAAACTACCTATCACTATCACTTTGCCTGTTTCCCACCCTTACCTGCCATAAGCAACCACTAATGTCCTTTATGTTTCTATAGGTTTCCCACTTCTGGATCTTTAATATAAATAGAATCATAATACATGGCTTCTATCACTTAGCATAATGTTTTCAAGTTTCATCCATGTTGTAGCATATGTCAGTACTTCATTTCTTTTTATAGCTAAGTATTATTCCATTGTATAGATAGAGCACATTTTGTTTATCTACCTGTCAGCTGACAGATATATGAATTGTTTCCACCTTCCAGGTATTATGAAAAATCCTGTAAACGTGTATAATTTTTGTGTGGACTTATGTTTTCATTTCTCTTGGGTATGTATTTAGGAGTGAATTATTGAGTAATATGAAAACTTATATTTAGCACTTTTGAGGAACTGCAAACCTTTCAAAGTGGCTGTACCAGTTCACATTCTTATTATCAGTGAATGAAGGTTTCCATTTCTCCATATCCTCACCAACAGCCGTTGTAATCTGACCTTTTTCTTTCTTTTAAATTTCATGTATTTTCTTGAGAATACACATAACAAAACATACACCAGTTCAACAGGTTTTACATGTCCAATTCAATGACGTTGATTATGTCCTTAAAGTTGTGAGACCATTCTTACCTTTTCTGAGTTGTTCTTCCTTCATAAACATAAACTCCCTCTAAAGTTCCCACATAATCTTTCGAATGGTTCTTGTCGATTTGATCTCTTACAGATTGTTCTTAAACGAGCATGAAGGCTATAGTCATCCAAGTGGACATGAAGTGATGTTTCATTGTAGTTTTGATTTGCATTTCCTTAATGACTAATGCTATCAAACATCTTTCAATGGCTTATTAGCCACATATGTATCTTCTCCAGAGAAATGTCTATTCAGAACTTTGGCCCATTTTTTAACTGGGTTATTAGTGGTTTTATTATTGAGTTGAAGGAGTTCTTTATATGTCTGGATACAAGTCCCTTACTGGATATGATTTGCAAGTATTTACTCCCACTCTGTTGGTTTACTTTCTCACTTTTTTTGATGATGTCCTTTGAAGTACAAAATTTGTTCATTTTGATGAAGTCCAGGTTATCTTTTATTTTTTCTGGTTTTTGTGTCATTAGCTAAGAGTCCTTTGTAAAACCTGAGATCATAAAAATTTGTCCCTGTATTTTCTTCTGAGGGTTATATGGTTTTAGTGCTCACATTTAGGTGTTTGATCTGTAATCCTACTTTCTTTTTCAAGATTGTTTTGTCTATTCTGGGTCCCCTTACAATTCCATATATATTTTAGAATTAGTTCGTGCAAAGAAAGGAGCTCTGGTGGTATTGCTATGAAAGCATTCAGCTGGTAACCTAAAGGTTGGTGGTTTAAACACACCAGCTACTCTGCTAGAGAAAGATAAGGCAGTTCTATAAAATATTATATAAAGACTTAAAGCCTTGGAAACCCTATGGGGGCAGTTCTGCTCTGTCCTGTTGGCTCACTGTGAGTCAGAATTGACTTGATGACATTGGGTTTGGTTTTTGTGGTTTCTATGAAGAATTTAGCTGGGATTCTGACAGGGATTATGTTTAATCTAAATCTGCATAATACTGACATCTTAACAACATTAAGTCTTCATGAACATGGAATGTTTTACTATTTACTTAGAACTTCTTTAATTTCTGTTAGCAAGTTTTGTAGCTTTCAGAGTATAAATTTTGCATTTCTTTTGTTAAATTTATTCCTGTTTTGTTCTTTTTGATGCTTTTGTAGCTGCAATTATTTTCTTATTTTAATTTTTAGATTGTTCATTGCAAGTGTATAAAAATACAATTAATATTTCTATACTGGTCTTATCTTCTGACCTTGCTAATAGTTTTTTAAATGAATCCCATATGATTTTCTGTATAATCATGTCATCTGCAAATAGAGATAGTTTTGCTTCTTTCTTTCAATCTGGATGCCTTTTATTTATCTTGCCTGATTGCCCTGGTTAGAACTTTTCAGCACAACATTGAATAGAAGTGGTGAGATTGGACATCCTTGTCTGGTTTCTGATCTCAGGGGAAAAGTACCCAGTCTTTCACTATCAAGTATGCTGTTAGTTGTGGATATTTGTAGATGTACTTTTTCAAGTTGAGGAAGTACCCTTCTATTCCTAGTTTGTTGAGTATTTTTGTTATGAAAAGAGGTTGGATTGTGTCAGATACTTTTTCTGTGTCTATGGAAATGACCATGTGATTTTTTTTATTTTATTTTAATATAACATATTGCACTGATTGATTTTCAAATTTTAAACCAACTTTGCATTCCTAAGACAATCTCACTTGGTCATGGTATATATAATTCTTTTTACATGGTGCTAGGTTTGTTTTGCTAGTTTTTTTTAAACACTTTACACATCCATATTTATAAGAGACATTAGTCTGGTTTTCTTGTGTCATCTTTGTCTGACTTGTACATATTTTTGTCAGCGTAATTGTTTCTCCTTTTACTTAGCTGATGGCAGCATTAGCTGCTGTTGGGCCTCCTAATCCTCGGGCAGATCCAGAATGCTGCAGTATTCTCCATGGTCTAGTTGCAGCAGTGGAAACCCTCTGCAAAATTACAGAATACCAACATGAGGCTCGTACTCTACTCATGGAGAATGCAGAACGTGTTGGAAATAGAGGACGGATCATTTGCATTACTAATGCAAAAAGGTGAGACATTAATTATAATCATATTTCCACTGATGGGATTTTAATATCTTCTTGGGGTTTTTATTAAAAAAGCAGGGACAACGTGGTAGCATTTAAGTATATTACAAGTGACCCTGGTTTTTTTTGCCTTTTTAATATTGATGCTGCGTTTATCTGATTCTAAAATAAAGACTTATTTCAGCAAAAACCATTTAAATTGTTATCACAGAAGTACGTATGACTGTTTTTTCTCATTAGGTTTTCATCTGGTTGTTTGGCATTGGGAATGAGCACAGTACAGGCAGTCCTTATCAAAATAATTTTGAGTGCCTATAACAAGATACTGGAGCTCTGGTAGCATAGTGCCTAAGGCACTTGACTGCTAACCAGAAGGCTGGCGGTTCAAACCCACCAGCCACTCCTCGGAAGGAAGATGGGG